GGACCTCAAGCACACGCTTGAACACTTAGCTCATAGCGTAGCTCCTGTCGCTCTCGGCCCTTTCGACCGGAGCTGACTAGACCTCTTGTACACCCCATCTTTCTCCTTCTCGTTTGTAACCCACTGCAAACTTCGAGCACCTGGGCTCAGGAATAAAGTCACTGGCCGACCAAAACTGGACGTAGAGCACGTTGCCTGAACCAGTATAAACCCTGTGTCATTGAGTGCTAGACCACCTCCGATCACAACGTACGGCAAAACTATAAATATTTACTAGTTGATCATATTCTGCACCGACAACATAATTAATATGACCCAGGTTACGTCCATAGGGAATAAGTGGTTTGGAATCTTGTCTTAAAGAACTTAATACTACCCATATTTATATAACACTGTTAAAAAATATACTAAAGTCAATATGACTCTCTATAGAGCCCTAGTTGGTGACACTCCGTGCTCAGCTATAGCATATTGGTCAAGGTAGATTGATAGAGCGTGCTTCAATGAGAGATAGCGGTATGCAGTGCTTTGTTCTATCAGCTCCCATCGCTCGCCATTCTGGTAAAGCACAAGGCAGTTGCGCAGGGCTCAAGTTAGAAGTGCGTGCAGTGCTAGCTTGTTTTAAACATAGAAGACCAAAAATGCACATAGCACCAAAAATTTGGGTATCCTATGCTTATCAAAGGAGAAAGGAGGTCTGTAGGAATACCAAAATTGGGTATCCTATACTGACCAAAGGAACAAGGAGGTTTAGGAATGCCAAAAAATGGTCAGTATAGGATACAAATTAATTCATGTCATTCTCGCATGACCCCTTCAGTCAAAATATACAAATTAATTAAACTTATAAAAAAGTAACATCTTATATAATTTATTGTCATTGAGTACTAATATAATTTAAAGCAAATTGTCAATGTTAATGGTGTGTGGTTTGTTTAGATTTTTTTCATGCATGATTGACATTTCTCATAATGTATGCATATTTATTTACTTATTGGTCTACAGTCTAGACAGTGGTACATACCTTTTTGCTTATTGCATATTTACTGTGTAGGAGTTTGTAATTTAGAAATTAAAGATATACAGCTTACTTTATGATTATTAAACTATTTTCTATAATAGCTTATATTCGTATTTAGATAAAAGATTGAAGGGACATTTTAATTTGTTTTTTATGATTATAGTCTTAGGCAATCTACATACAAATTAAATGGGTTATAGAATTCGATAAAGTCAAACAAACAAAAATTGAATTCGAGAAAGAAACTATATGTTTTCATTTATCCATCGCTCACCATTCATCGGATAATCGGCATTATTATTGCCAAGTAATGTATATGCTTTGCGCGAGCTTAGCGGTCATGCGAGAATGACATAAAATGCATGACCACCAGGTAGCCAGCTTGTGAAATATTTAAAGCTTGCATGTTAATTCCCAAAACCCATGAGATGTTACAGAGAAAAGATAACTCCTAGAAATTCTAAGAGAAATAAAAAGATCAACTCGTAAATTCAGTAGATTATTCTAATCATATTAGTAGACATTAGACATACCTTCATTTTAGAAAACAATATCTACCTATGCTATCATGAAAAGGTGTCTAAAAGTAAATCATTAATCTTCATCGAAACTACCCACTTATACTATTAAGAGAAAATAGTCTAAAGTAAAACACACAAATGTGCAATTATATAAAGTATCTCTGCCACTGTTAAAAATAATCTAACCCACCTATATTATAATTATAAAATATGATCTAGAGTGATCTAAATTTGCATTAGAATTATCCACATCGACTATTACCACAAAAACCTAAAGTAATTATATTATTTACATCTATATAGATTACTCAGCTTTTCTATAACAAATAAATAATACAAATTGCATTGTGTGTGTGTTTTTAATTCAATCATCTGCTCCTGCCGGTGGACGTCCTGACTGACGCACACGTTCGGACGCCCTGCACTCTGCCCCCGTGCCAGCATGCCCCCGCCGCGCCTACGTTTCGCGCGCCCACATGGGGCCCACACCGCTAGACCTCATGTGGGGACCACTTGCGCCCCCTTTGCCGTGTGCGCCTGCTTGATGGTGCCCCAGCCCCTAGCAACTGCAGCTGGTGGCTGCAGAAGATGGGTCACATTGTAACATGTGCAATACCCGATCTACTTTTGAAACATTCAGATGCAGCGTTTAAAACATACGTCTGAAGGCAGATGAAACACTTGAAACTTGCGTCCGGAACAGTTGCAAAAATACTTGAAAACCATTGCAAACATACGCAACATCCAGATAAACACATGCAATATATGTGTGAAAACATATGCAACATCTAGATAACCACACTTGCAACATGCGTCTGAAAAAACGGATGAAACATTGAAAATAGAAGCTTGCAACATACGTTTACAACCATCACAACATATGAAACATCCCGTTCTACTTTGCAAAATCCGTATGGAACGCTTGCAACGTACCTATAAAACATCTAAAACACACGTTTGCAACATGTATTTTTCACAATTCTTCTTCCGGACGACGCAGAGCAGGGGGGGAACAGTCAGTTCTAGCCAACCAGTGGCCGAGGATGGTGGCACGACCTGGCAGTGGCCAGCTGCGCCTGCGCCTGGCCTAGGCCCTGCCAGCGACGTTGTCATAGGTATGGGCCAGGGGTACCTACACCTCCTGTATATATGACCATCGCCCAGCTATCGGCCCAGCAGCTGTCAAAGAGGAGGCCCGTGAGTACTGACGTGATCAACCAACGTGGAGGTCAAGGCAAATCAAGGCGGACATATCTGGACAATAGCTAGAATTAATCTGTTGCGCATATCATGTAACAAACTAGGAACACAATCTGTTAGTCCGATCGCCCTCTCTGTAACCCTACCCCTCCTGCCTATATAAAGGAGGGTAGGAACCTCGGGTTCGGGATCCATCTCCCACCTATTCCATCTACTACGTAGCTAGGAGCAATGGCCTCTGTAATTGAGCATACGAATACAGGAGCAGCCGCAGCACTGGAGTAGGGATTAGCGTGCCCCGCGCCTTGAACCAGTATAAATCTCTGTGTCTCGTGTGCTACCATCTGATTCCGTCTACGCGATCATGTTGCTGGATATTACCGGAGCAAAACAATCCGACAGTTGACGCATCAGGTAGGAGCCTTTCGCGTTCAGATTTGTTTTTGTGTTTCAGATGGGAATTGTCTTTGATTTCGGCGATGAACCAGAGAAGATGCGGCCGGGCACGAGGATCGTCTTCGACAATCTCGACTTCATCGCCGATCGGTTTGGAAACCTGCTCCTACAGGAGCCCGAGCCGACCGAACGGGAGGTGGAGCAGTCCCTCGAGATGCGTGCTTTCGCTGCCGGATTGGAGGAGGCTGTCGACGGAGGACCGCTCACCATCGCCCATCATCTAACCGGCCACGGTCAGCTTTTCACTGAACCTGACCGAGAGCCTAGACTCGACGCCACCCTTTTCCTTCGCAAGGTCGGGGATCCAATCCCGACGACGGATACGATACTCGATCCAATTCACTCCTGATCCTCGGGAGCACCAACACATGCGGCGATGACTCGCCCTACCCGGCTTCTGCAAGCTACCTTACCACCTTTCGGATCTCCTGCGGAGGATTCGAAAAACCCGCGTCAGACTGATCGGGACTATAGCGGTGACGACTCTGACTTGAATCTCGTCGGGGTCACCATCCATAACCTAAGCCAGGGTGGCACCGTCCTGGAAAAATCGGACTACTCCGATGAAAACGATCGGCATCACGACAGCAGCTTCGCGCCTCTCTCTCTACGACCGTTACCGGCCACATGGAGATGATCGCATGGATGTTGACGATGGTGACATCATCTCGCATGCACGTAGTTGCTACCTCGGCGCAAATGATTACGAGGGGAATGGTTACCTTACTCCCGAACGCTCCCCTCACAATCATTTCGAGTTTGATTACGCAGCGCCTTACAAGACCAGCCAACAGGCCCAGGATCACCTGCTTAATCATAACGACGTGTTAGTCCGACGTTAGCTCCAAGAACAGAACGCAGCTCGGGGCCGTCAGGCCCACAACGATATTCTACGGGCAGCTCCGGTGTTTTCCAACGCCGAGCAAAACCTGGCCGAGGCCATGCGAGAAGCGGCGGCGACGCCACAACCATCCATAGAAGAAGGCCGGCAGACTTTCCAAAGGATTCAAGAGCTGATGGCGGCCGCAGCCGATCGCATACCAGCACCTAGCAACGCGTCTGTTACATCTAGTATGCAGAGTATGCAGATAGTGCTGAGATGGATGCAATTATTTGTGGTTCATTTCATATTTGAACTTGGATGCAAAAAAGAACACCCTTATAGACAATGGACTTTTCTGGTCAGAAGTTAAGATGAACAATTCCTGCTTATTCAAACTAGCTCTTAAGGAGAAACACCTCAGATCAATGCCCCAGCGAGCACTTGTTCTTTTGATTCCAAGGGACTGAGAATGACATTTCAGGACAGAACAGTAAAGGTGAAAATAAAGGTCAGGTGAGAACTGAGCAGGCGACTGCTTACTGACCAGGCTTGTTTGTTTTGGGAGAAGGCAATAGCTGGTGAACACAAACGACTTGACTACGACGAAATTAGCCAATCCAAGTGCCAGGAGTGCCATTGACAAGGACTGTACGTAGCATCTAATTAATTGCATACTCATCTCGTAATCGTGCGTGGTAGCTGCCAAGTCAAAGTCCTTCCTGTCCATCTCCATGCGCTACTCCGCTCTTGCCTACGCATGCAGGCAGGCACAGCCGAATTTAATTTATTCTGCCCAAGTTGGTTGTTAATTATGTTGCCATCTCCATATATAAGTACAGCCGATTAGGAGTAACTTTATCGCTTAATCTTCCCTTCATTCTTTCTCCGAAAGCTGCACACACAAGGGATTGAAAGAACCTGAAGTTTACAGAACAAGCTGCAGTTCAGATACCAGAATACCAGATCGAGCTGAGCTAGAATGAAATTAGCAGAGATGAAGCACCACCACTACCACCATGACAACTGCAGATGTCTTCCTCAATCTTCAGCTTCTGGTCGCCACTCTCTTGCCTGCGACTGCGACCACCGGTCGGCGATGGAGGAGATCTCCAGGGAGCAGTCTCTGGTGACACAGCTGCGAGCCATCGTCCTCCCTACGCTGCAGCAGGCGGACGAACGCTACGAGCTTGTTGCCCAGATGTTCCAGAGCATACTGGATTGCTCCAGCAAGACCATGGCCGAGCTGCAGCGTCATCAGTCTGATGATGATGCTCAACCAGATGATGTGCTGGTTGATGACAAGAAGAGAGTGAAGAGGAGTATCTCTGATGACTGCATCAGGAAGGAGGAGGGTGTCAGCAAGGAGGAGGATGTTGTTAAGCCGCGTCATCAGCAGCTCAAGAGAGGGTATGCATGCATTTTCCAACATCAATTGATGAGTAAAACTACTGCTTTTTTTTGTTTATAATGCTTCTGTATATGTATTAATTATGTGAGCATGGGATTAAGCTTTCTATTGATTTTGATTCTTTTATTTGCAAACAAATTTAATTTCGAGCAGGAGATTTGTTGAGTCGATGTCACTTGAAACGCCCGTTCCACGCTATGATGGACGGCAGTGGAGGAAATACGGGCAGAAGCACATCAACAAATCAAAACACCCAAGGTATATTTTTCCTTCTTAATTGAAGGGACATCTAGCTCTCCTTGGTGGTGTACTTCTGGGACACTTTGATTTCTTTCTCTTTTCAAACACACCTGAGGATGTATGAATTAAAGGAGCGACTAGCGTCCGGACTTCTAGCTGCTCCCGCGCTTGCGCCCGACGCACGACTAGACCCGCGCCCAATGCATGCCCATCCTTGCTCCGGAGGCATCATTGGTCCGGATGGAGCTTCCCGCGCCTGCGCCCAACACACGCAGCATGGAGGCCCGTGTCCCATCCCACCCAATGCGCTGCGTCCGCTCCCATCCCGCTCCACATCCCGGCCGATCCGCCGCGCCATCCCGTCCTCGCCGCTCTCGTGTACGCGGCCTCTATCTTTGCCTCCATATTAGTATTTTGAGTATATATAGTTGCTCTCTCGGTCTCAAAATGACCGTTGTTTTAGAAATAGTATGGATTATCCAGATTCATTTCTAAAACAACGATCTTTTTATGTCGGAGGGAGTACATTTTAAAAGATTTTAACTTTTTTATAAGCAAGATGTGCGTTTATTTTGAAGCAAGGGATTACATGTGTCCTGAACATATTTTAGTTAGCACTACTATCTACTTACTTTAACCGCTGGTGAGCCACCGTCACTCGCTGGCGTGTTATGTTGGTTCAGCAATGGTCTAATCTAAAATGCTCTGTTTTCTATTCGCAAAAAAAGCTCTGTTTTCTGAAATCATATGAAGTGCTATGTTTCCTGAAATTTACAGAGACGAGACTCTGTTAATCGCCACCATCTCAAAATTTAGAGAGACGAGACTCTGTTAATCGCCACCGTACCAAACATGAGCTAGCAGGGGAGCACATGCGAGATCCTGTGATGAGGCGCAATCTCTGCCGGTGAGGTGACAAAAGCAGGCAGGCGGCCAGGCGAGGTGAGGTGACAAAAGCAGTTGTCTTGTCTCCGGCCACACCATACCGCACAGATGGACAGGCGGCAGAGCCGTTCGCGGCGGACAGGTAGGCGGGACTGGGCTCTGCCGCGCCACCGATTAGGCGCTCCAAGATTGGTGACATGATAGATCCTACCACGTCACCGGTTAGCATTTTTGGTCTTCGTCATGTCATTCTCCCGCCGCGTCACCATGTATTCATCGCGCCATGGCAATTGGCGTGGTCAAAAGGGTTAGATTTGAAAAAAAAAATGTTAGATTTAAAATTAGTTTACAAAAAATGTTAAAAAAGTCACCATTGGTTGAATAGATTCCGTTCCATCGAACAAGGGATCCAAGCAACAAAATCTATATTGCATTATTACACCAGCTTTTACTTTTATGATCTTTAACTACATCATCAACTTGTGGGTTCAAACCTATGATGTGATGCCTCATAATTGGTATATCGATGAATGAAATAGTGATTGACCTGCATGATATGAAATAAATCTTAGGAACAGTGTGGGAAGGAGAGAGATAATAAAGGAAACAAAAAAGAAATAGTGCTGAAAAGTGATAAGTAGGTGTACCTGGATTTTGACTGGAGAACAACGTGGTAGGAGTGGGGGCGTCGAGGAAGAACAGGTGCAAGGGTGGCGGCAGGATCTGGGAGGGAGGGATCATGGCTGGCAGGAAAGGAAGTAAACTAGAGAGAGTTCCAGTACAGCGAGTCCCCAGCTAGTGCGTTGGTAGCGAAAATAAAGAAGGAAACATGGCTTTGGATGGTAGAAAGGACAAAACATTTAGTGGCTCTATAGCATGAGAATATTTATTTATTTTTATTCTGGTTCTTGCTGATATGTTAAAACTTCTTTATCAATGAAATAGACAGTCTCATGGCCATCCATTAAACAAAACAAGTGAAAAGTATACTGGTACAATATATATAGGGTGACAAGTCTTTGTGAAAGTTAGGGAGTAGATTAAACAGACTCAATTTGTCTGATCTTGTTAGAATCAGATACCAGTCTGAAGGTATTGGATTCTCACAATAGAGTATCCTTGTGATTGCCGCATTTCGGAATATCAGCACAACCTTAATATGGAAATCATATGTTCAGAGTCATGCATTGCAATAGCAAGCAACTATACACATAATTATGCAAACTAACCACAAGTACATAGCCGCTGATGATCATTGAAAGTATTTATAAACTGGGTATGTTGACCCCGTAGCCGCCACAAGTTTGTCGTGTATGCTCTCATTGCACGTGCATACGAGATCAGTTGTAGATGGAATTGATGTTGCAACCAGAATTTGGAAAAGGGACATGTATGCATGAAGTGGTAGTATAGAGTTCAGTGCACAAGTTGGCTTCTCTCTTGGGAGTAGAGGGAGTTCAGTGCACAATAAGTATAGCTGTTACTTGCATCGGACTTGCTAATACTATAACGCTAGATAACCAAACACCTGACGGGATCCAAGCAAGACAATGACTCTGTAAACTACATCAACTAGCATATACGTATGTCTAGCTATCCAGCAAATGAGAAGTAGTAAACTAAGGTATATGCTTATTGCGTTTTAATTAAGCTCTAACATGTCATTGAGAGTAAGGAGTTATTCATTTGTAATGGCACACGTTACTTTCTAAATAAACGGCACAAAGGGTAATGGACAAAGTCATTCTGAATCTTGAGCTGTGACCATTGAAGAAAGGGGCGTTGTGGGCATCGTCCTTGTCCAAAATACAGTTAAACTATCTGGAAGTCTGCAACCAAAAGAATAACCATGCATGCATATGTCACACTGTGACACAAATATGAGATATAATGACAAAAGCCAATGATCCTTAAATTGGAATATTTTGGTTTCTTTTGAGGAATATTATATTTTATTACTAGTCAATACTCACTCCATCCTTAAATATAAGGTATCCAAGGAATATATTATAGGAAAGCAAAAGACACATGTTGACTCTCCCTTAAAAAGTAGGGAGATATGCTTACCATATTTGAGCCTGGTGGTTCAGTGGTTGGGTTGACAATAAACACTTATGGCAACTAGGTAGCATGTGATTGGAGCCTAGAATCCTTTATAATTTAAGATATATTTTGAATTCTTGGTTATCTTATATTTCAAGATGGAGTTAGTATATAAAATTGTGTATGTAAAAGTTAAGTTCTTGAGTTACCTGTGTGGGTAGGTAAGCGAGCTAATATACGCAAAGATCACATATTTGGGCTGCTATAGCCTAGAATCCTACAAAAGCCTTCTTCCCTCAAGGTTGGGCCAGGAAGAAGGGACGACCTCCAATTGTCCTTCCTGCTGTGCTACTAGAATCTTTGGAAACACAGTACAAAGTTTTCTTCCGCTCATATGTCATCCACTCATCATCACTCCCATGCCTGCTGGACAAGTGCCTCATGCTGATAGTGGACGGAGTGGCCACAGGTTTTTGGCACCAACTGTTATCTATGTAGTCAAGCTCATCCACCCTTTGTTGTACCAGCTAAGCTTATGCTATGAAAAGGTTAAGGTATACCTGTGAAGAGTTGGAACTGTTTCAACGTTTAATTTTGAGATTTGAGTCTCAAAGTTGGAAGCATCGGCAGTCAGGTTCTATGGCAGATTTTGTGTGTGTGTGTGTGTGCACCAACTGTGGCACATGTGAGAAAGAACTGTTGTACGCTATTCTGCATGTAGGGAAATTTCTTTATAACTAGCAATTCCCTTATCTTTTGTCGCAATCAATTGGTATGTTTGGCTTACACGTATGGCATTCATGTGCTGCTCAGGAATCCTGAAGGATTCACCACATATCACTTAATTTTGTTCTCTTGTTTTGGTTGATAATGATGCATGGCGGTCAACAAAACTAGTTCAAGGCCATGGTTAGTCTGAGTGGAACTATCAGTACATGTTCATATTATGAAGTATCTATGATCTTTGAACACATAACATGCAATTTTCATGGTTCTCAACATGTTTTTGACAATCACTTACTGTTTAATTTAATTATTCAACAGGCTTCCTGTGTACCAGCAGTACTTTTCTCATGCATGTATGAGGATTAACATAAATTGAATTTCATGTAATGATTTATCTTACGCAAAGTTTAAAGTTTGAACCGATGATAAATGATGATAACCTACTTCATCATAGCACATCTGTTATGTAAAAGATGAAATTAACTAGCTAGTTTATTTTGCATTCATTTCCAAATAACTAGGTGTCATTTACCATTATTAGAGTCCAACCAAGCATGTCCCTGTCCTACGGCCGGTGTAGTTACGGCAACGTTGCTCCCTATAACATGTACATGTTTCCTTTCACGAGTGTCTACGCCATGTGAGCGCGATATAGACACTGCCGTCGATCCTGCATGATTAGCCAAGTCTTTGGTTGTATCACAACTGTCGACCACAGGAATAAAAACTAATGACAATCTAGTCGGCGATTTTCAAGCTAAACAAGTGACCTAACAAAAATGCTTATTCACACATCAAATAACTTATGGGGACAGCAATTTTCTTACAAATGTAATTTTTATGCATCACCTCTATTATATTCTATACATGAATAAATCAGTTGCATTTTTTATGCATTAGATATGTCAATAATCCTTATCATCTGACGATCAACAGTTAAGTTCATACTAACTTATCTTCCTCCAACAATTTAAAACACTAGTACCACTAGTGTGGCATTAATTTAATAATCATCATCTGACCTTATAATAACATTCACTACTAAAATAGTGGAATTCTCGTAGTGTTTTTAAGTAGTATTAAAATACTACTACTAGTCATAGCACATGGAAATCCACACTATAAGACATTTAATAGGTAAAGTTTATACTAAATTTTGAATGCTAAAACATTAGGACAAGCCCATATCACTAGGAGAAGTCTAAAATTCTGGTTGTGATTACTATGTACTACTTCAAATGTGTCTCCTAGCCCCATCACACATAATGTAATTAAACATGTGCATCAAATGAAAATTACGTAACGATCATGATCTATGTATATTTATGCATCAGTCTGAGAAAAACAGGATCTTGAATGACACCCTTAGTTCTACCATACTACTGATGGATAGGGACACAGTATTCTCCCTAGTCTTTTCCAGTGAGAAATTTTGAAAAAATGATCCATTCCCTCCACCATGCTCATACTGTGTGATGTTACTTGCATGTATAAATAGATGCCTAAAGCTGCATATACCTAGCACCTTCAGCTCCAAAGTCCAACTATTATAGCCACATATATTTGAGAAAGCATCAAATGAACATCTTTGAATCTTCCACTCATAGTGGCTGCCAAGTGGTGATCAATGAGATTGAACACCAAAGGGCCCTCGTGATGGAGCTACATAACCTTATCCTACCAACACTTGATCCCTGTAGTAGGCAGGAGAAGCTTGTGCAGCAACTCTTTCAAGATATATTCAGTTCCTCAAGTAAGGTTATCTCCTTTCTCGAACTTGGTGATAACAGTAAGGAAACAGGCAGATCTTATCAAATATAGAAGAAAAGGTGGCAAGAATAACGTGGATAGTCACATGTTGGGGGAGGAAGCTAAACAAATTGGAAATAAGAGAAGGTATATAGCAAAAGAGCATATATATGTTTACCTATATATCATTTACTGTGGTGCTTAAAATATTTATCCCTTCTCTTAGGAAGAATGCCCAACACACAGGTTCAGTTGTGACACAAGCACCACACTTTGATGGATATCAATGGAGGAAGTATGGACAGAAGTGGATCTCCAAAGCAAAGCATTCTAGGTATGTAATAAAACATATGTATTGATGTACTTCATATATATAATATTTTCTATACTGAATTTGGATTCTCATGTTGTATTCTAGTCGGGTGGTTTTTTGCCCGGTTTTCACTCAAAAAACTACACTAACACCTTTTTTATGTTTTCTTCTAATAAAATTTATAGCAAAGCTTTTGCCGTCCTTTCAAAAAAAAAATAGGTGTGGATGATTAGCTTTGTGCACATATATTGTAGCTCAAAATTGCAGCCATACGTTTTCGAGAAAAAAATTTGCAGCCATACATATTCTCATCTATGTGGATGAATAATATTTTGCATATTTTGCCTTTTGTGTATAATAAAAAATATATAATGATGTCATGCTTAATCAGGAGCTACTATAGATGTGCCAATAGTAAAGACCAAGGGTGTCTTGCAACTAAGACAGTCCAACACAAGGAATCAGATGGAAGCGCTGGAACAGTGAGGTTGTTCGATGTTGACTATTACGGCCAGCACATTTGCAAGAAGGATGACATAATCCATCCATATGTTGTTGAGACAACAAAATATAGTGCACCAATTGTCAATCATAACCAAAGCATTAGTGGGTCAACAGTTGTTCATAATGATGTCCTTGGAATTCAGGATGAAAGCTTTGAAAACTTATTCATGGTGCCAAGCACGCCAGAATATTTGATAGATTTCACAGATATTGAAATGGCAGGGGCACTTGAGGTTACCTCTATGATGATCCCTGAAGATATATGGGCGTAAGGAAGAAATGATGGGAAGGAACTCCTTTGAAGGTGTACATCAATCCGTTCGTATGCAGACAGCCGTTGCTTCATGAGTTGTGACAAGAAAGGGACAGAAGTATGTTACCTTTAGAGTATAATATGTGTGTGATAAGCAAAGAAAATGGATCTGCAGAAAGTAAATAGTGGGCAGAAACTAAGGCTTAAAAGTTGTAAATGCTGTGTCCCACAAGCTAGAATGTTGATGTACTAATATCTAAACTTTCCTGTAATTGTAACCATCCCATTCCCAGCCTCTGTAAAACACATCCTGCAAAGTCTTCATAACAGGTAAAGTGTCCTGGAATTAATAGTACTAGCTTATAACTTGTTAACGTTTGATGGAGAGCATTAGAAACATGGGAAATAGTAATAATTAGCATGACAAATGGCATGCAGTCAAGAAAAACTCGATAGTTAGTCAGAATTTCAGACATTGATATGACACCTGTCAAGCTTTGCTACATCCTCCATGCATACAGGCTGCAGCCTAGTAGCTATCAGGATGGTTAATTATATTGTCCCATCCCATGCCTCGTTGACTTGACTTGATCCAGTGTATGTAGTTGAACTGAGGGCCTGTTTAGTTCCACCCAAAAGCCAAAATTTTTTGCGCAGTATCCATCACATCGAATCTTGCGGCACATGCATGGAGTATTAAATGTAGACAAAAAAAAAACTAATTACACAGTTGGGTGAGAAATCGCGAGACGAAACTTTCGAACCTAATTAGTCCATAATTAGACACTAATTACTAAATACAAACGGAAATGCTACAGTACCCAAAACCAAAAATTTTTGCCAACTAAACAGGCCCTGATTGAACTTAGGCGTTGTATAGTTCTGCACAGAAGTTTACACCGTATTCCATCGAATATTTGGACAAATGCATGGAATATTAAATATAGACTAAAAAATAACTTATTGCATAGATTGCGACTACTTTGCGAGACGAATCTTTTAAGCCTAACTGGGCCATGATTTGACAATGTGGTGATACAGTAATACATGTGCTAATAACGGATTAATTGGGCTTAATAAATTCGTCTCGCGGTTTACTGATGGATTCCGTAATTTGTTTTTTTATTAGTATCTAAACACCCCATGCGACACCCTCATATGACATCCGATGTGATACCCTTAAATTTTACACTCTGAAATTAAACAAGTTCTTAACAAACCACAAGAATAAGTAAACATAATATATAACTGGTGGACCGGAGGAAACATAAACATCCTGGTCGATTTGGAAGCTACTTAAAATTGGGTGGCCCTGCTCTGTGGCCAGAAGTACATATCCTACGAGGCCCTATCCCCTAGGTAGGTAGGTTGGCCATTGGTCTCACTGAAAGGTGACGAAAGGTTCACACTTCACACCACACTGGAGTATGTGCTGTTGCCATGCCGGAGGAATGCGGCGTTTTTGTTCGCCTCTGCTATGGCCGGCCGATGTGTGTGTGTGGAGCGGAGAAAACGATGACCAATCAGTACGGTTTTGGAGGACAGCGCAGAGCCCCCTGTTTTTGACACTTTGACAGGAAAACCAAAAGGAGGAGAGGAGAGGGGTGACTTGACCTGGGCCGTTTGGTGGAGCTGCTGCTGCTGCCCAGCACGGTGATCGCCGAAGAAGGAAGCCACGGCCGCCGTCGCCGGAGCCGAAAAGCCCTCGATGTTTTTTTTTTTGATGGTCCTGTCATTATTGGGACAGAGGGAGATACATAGCTGGGCTGAAAAGTTCATCAGGCAGGCACTATGCGTATTGTGCATCATACGTAAATGAGGCCCATTACAGCCTAGTGAGGCCCTAGCCTAACAAATGGGTTTATGCCCTTGGGAACTGGCCCTAACCAAGGCCCAAGCCCAACAAATGAGGTTTGTTGTTACTCTACTTTTTTTGCGTCAAAATAGTTATATATGTAATAGTTATTTATATATTAAGCGTGTAGCAACCTATATATTAACCTTCCAACAAACTATATATACTTGTAAAGGTGTAGCAACTTATGTATTAAGCCCGTGTAGCAACTTATTTTTCATTTTCCATTATTTTTTATTTTTTTACTTGTTTGTACTATTGAGCGACTTGTGATGAGATCTATGAAATAAGACTATGATGCATGTGTTTTAAAATAGTTTGTATGTACCGGCGAATCAGCGAGGAGGAGGAGCAAATCGGCGAAGAGGAGGAGCGGCCAATCAGCGAGGAGGAGGATCAAATCGGCGAAGAGGAGCAGATTTGGATCGATGGAGTGGGGGTGACTGCTGGCAGATTCGAGCGGAAAAGAGAAGCAGATTTGAGCTAGTTGTATAATAACTTGCCCCCCTAGTTGGTAACTTATGCAATGCTTACTTTAATAATATGCCCCCACAGTTATACACTATAGTATTACGTGGTAGTAACTCCTTTGATATTTTTTATCCCCTCCCCAACTTGTGCATACTATGTAACAACTTTAGTGTTTTTGGAGTAGCAACTTTAGTATTATATGGTAGGAACTCCTTTTAATTATTTTCCCGAGCATGTGTATGCTATGTGACAACTTTTGATGAGGACATAACTCATTCAGATGTACCAGCTGATCCTCCAACCGTTATGCAAGGTCCAATGACTCGGGCTCGAATGCGTCAACTCAATTTAGAGGTGAGCTCGTTCTTAAGCGATCATTTTCATACTTTTGAGAATAGACTACTACCTAATGTTGTTATCTTGCTTAGGAACATTGGAGAGGGTCAAGAGGGACTAAGAGGACGTGGAGGAGGTGATGATGACCAGCAAGGACGTCCAACACGAATCAAAGGCCCAGTCCAACATGATTTCGAGTCTGTCTCGGCCTCTAAGACCAGTCTGCCTTAAACTGGTCACCCAGGACACATCTGGACTCCGTTTTCGACGATCCACATATGGATGGAAAGCTAATTTGATAAGGAAGCCAATCCAAGTGGTCTCATGTCAAAAGCTATTCGGAATCAACGGGAATCGTGGTCACAAGACAGCGTCCAGATTCTGTCAGGGTGCTGCGACACTGTCTTTTGGTCCGATGGACCATGTATCGTGTTTGGGCCCATTAGGGGCGCATCCAGGGGTCTTGCATGACCCTAGAGTCTTCATAAATAGCCGCCACTCCTTCATTAGGGTTCAGGTTTTGCTTAGATTATTCTGTCAAGAACAGTTTCGCCGTTCATTGGTTTGTGAGACCCCAACTTCGAGAGTTTAATCATTCATCTGCAATTTAGTTGCGTTCTTTCTTGTTCTTTCTTGTGTTCTTCGTTGCGTAGGCAGGGATTAGCCTTCTTGGCGAGGTCAACCTGGTCTGTGACTCGGTTGATAATCAGAGGAGCTGTGGTGCTAAGATTGCAGGGTTCGATCTTTGGATCTGAAGCCGGATCGGTGTGTCATTCTCCGTCGCAACGATAGTTACCTCTACCTGACGGAAGATCGGGATCCCCGTTCCCATTAAGTGGTAATCAGAGCTAAGGTATATCTTCAGGTTCACTTTTATTCTCTAGTTTGAGTGTTTCACATTCGTCCCATAGTCTAGTGCCATACTTGTTTTTGCTGTCCTAGAACCTTCCGCGCCATAGCCTTTCATATTTCAGTTTCAGAGTCCATCGTGTTGAGTTTATGTCCTGGTCGAGGTCTTGTTGTTGGGTAGGTCGTGTTAGAGTCTAGTTCGTGTGTTTTTCCCCATCGTTTCCATCAAATCTTTGCTGTTGTGACCACTTTTGCGCACATTGTTTCCGTTTTATCCTCTAATTCGGAGTCAATTATTAAAACTGGTTTAGTTTTCACATACGAACTCCGATTTCGACGTTCCATATATCAAAATCGATCAAATTTTTTTTTTGGATCCGTCCATCCCCCACTTTGTTGGGGTTCGGAAATTTTAAATTGGTCAAAATGTGGTCACAAGATCCTCTTTTCGTGGTCACAAGGTTTGTGTCGATTTTGAGCAAGTTTTCTAAAAATTCCACAGGCCACGTCTTTCACTTTTTTAAGCTCATATTTTCTGTGGTTACTTCTTTTGTGCTCCTAAGTAAAGGAAAAATATCAAAAAAATAAAATAAAATGGTAGAAATTTCCTAAAAACAACGACAGCCCAAAAAATAGAAAAAAAGATGGGGACAAAAGAGGAACAATATTTAGAGGAGCACATAGAGAAGACCAAAGTGAGTTGTGTTAGCGTGTGCTGTCTGGTTCCTTGTTTGTGTTGCTGTTTCCATCCACCATACTTGTTTTTCACACTCCTATCACCTTGCTATCCACCATACTTTTGTTACACACCTGGTACTTGCAACACTTTAGACCAGTAACGAGAACAAGTACTTTGGATTATAATTTAGCATTACTTTCTGTTACTGACTTGTGTGCCAGATATACATATTACTCTTTGTTTGCCTTCCAAGCTCCACAAATTCTTCAGATCAGTGTAGAAAAAGGGCTTTGCAATCTCGGTACCACTGCCTCACAGGTATCACGAATCAGCCGCCGGTTGTACTGCCCACTGCTTGCGTTGGTAAGAACTTTGTAAGAGCTTGGTAAGACGCTTCCACTTGCTGTGAAAAGTGATACCACTACAACCACGTAGTCATTTGGTAGGGATAACTTTCACCGTTTGGTCCTGTTTTTTTGTTTTACAATGGCAGGAGGTGAACAAACTGGAGATAACAACCCTAGGGGTTTCAACGAGTGTGTCAGTCAAGAGCAGCTACAAGCTGTTGTAGAGGATGCCCAAAAAAGGATGAATGAGGCCGTTAGGAAGGCCGTCACTGACGCACTCATTGAACTCAACATTGGCAACAGCATGGAGAGATTGGACAAAAGAATTTCCACGCTAACCGACAAGGTTACTGAGTTGGAAACATTGGTGGCGGTCAACAACCATGACATCTCCGGCAGCAACACCGATGGTCTCTTGCCAGAAGACACGGTGCATGATGCCTCTAGAAACATAGATCGACCAGCCTTCCGACAAGCGAGAT